TTAATTCCATTAAATAGGAATTAATTTTATTCAATATTAATTAATTAATTAGGAGAATAAAATTCCTACTAGAATCTTCTCTTGGGATTAGGAGACTTGGGAGACTTCTAGAAGATGAAGATTAGTAGAAAATATATTTCCAACATTATATTATTAATTGGAGTAAAATTAGGCTTCCTAAGTTAGAAATTAATTTTATTCCATGGTTATTAATTTAATTAGGAAAGATATTCCTACAAGGATCTTCTCTAGTGTTAGGAGACTTAGGGTGTGATTGTTTATGGATTGAGTTGGTTTTTATTTGGTTTGTTTTTAACTATAGTTAATTTTGAAAAAATATAGTATGGTTAGTTGTTAGTGGATATATAAAAATAATATTTAAATAAAATAATTAAAATTGATTTGATGTAAAATAGGGAAAAAAATGATTAGAAATGATAATTAGTTAGAATTATGTGAGTGGATGAATAGTGAATTAAAGTTGATGTGATGTGTAAAAATGATTGGTTGATATTATTTAATTATATTGATAATATTGAAGATAGTGGGGTTGAGTTAAAGTTGAGTTAAATTTGAATTTTGATTGGTTTTTTTACTATTCAACTTATAAACAATCACCCCCTTAGGAGTCTTCTAGAAAGGAGGAGATTAGTAGGAGATTTCTTTCCAACATTAAATTAGTATTGGAGTAGAATTAGGTTTCCTAGGCCTAATGGAATAAGCCCATATTTAGCACCTCCTTAGGGCCCTAATGAAGCCTATAAATACTCCATGTCCCAACCTCTCCTACAATGTTGTCTTGGCCGATTTTCTCTACTACATACAAGAGAGAATAACATCGTTCGAGAGTTAGGGAGATTCGATTAAACGCTTCACCAAGTTTAATCGAAATAGGTGTTTAGGTAATACATTAGAAGGCTTTTTGGTACAATTAATTGAGCTTTCTAATAACCATAAATTTCGGTCATCATCATCATCACCGCCGTCCGCCGCCGTTAGGAATCGCCGGAATCCGCACATCACCGCCGAACGCCGCCTGAACTCAGCCACGCGTAACCGCACGCTACCGCGAGCAGTCGCGCACCGTCGAGTCCAGTCCGCGACGCCCAGCGACGCCCACCGTGTGCTGCCAGCGCCCAGCAACTGT